TTCAGAAAAGCAAAAGGCCTCAGATTGGTGGAAGAGCTTATAGTGTACCTGACAGGAAGAATAAAGGGACACTTACATAGACACATTAAAATTTGGTTAAGAATATCAAAGACATAGGGAAAATTCTGAAAGATTTCAGAGAGAAAGATGACCTGCAAAGGGAACAAGATGGATGGATGGATGGACGGACAGACATCAGACAGCAATAGTGAATGGAAAAAAACAGTAAAGTTAAAAAGTGATCAAGGAAAATGACTTTAAACCAAGAAATTTATATTCTCCTAACTTTTGTATGTTAGTATGAAATAAAACATTCTTAGGTATATTTGCCTAGGAAGGTTTGCTATATGAAGACCCATATTGGAAACCCATTTGGAAGCAAGACTCAGAAATAAATTTAGGAGATGTTAGAAGTATTTGATAAGTGGTGATTAAATTATCTTGAGAAAATTGATTGTTGCCAAAAGAAAAACACTAGGACCAAAATTCTAAACAATGAAAGTATAATGGGGGAGGGGGAATGGGGCACCATATATAATTCAGGTATTGTTATTGGACTTATAGGTGAAAAAATACTCTGTATTAAAACTTTTTCATTCCAAATGTCGTATAAAGGCTCAAGATCTAATGGATCTTTATTTTCTTTCAAGCTTCCTTTTGCTTTCCTGTGTCATCTATCACTGCCACTGTTTCTCATATCCCATGTCATTCCTTTTCTTGGATTCCTTTTTAGTTTTGTTTTGTTGGAATAGCTCCTCAAAGAATTGTTTCATATGCAGTCATTGATATAAATTTTCATATTTCTGCTGATCCAAAAATTCCTTTATTTTGCCCTCACTGTTGGAAATAGAATTTTAATTCTGTATCTTTTTACATTCCTCAGAATTTTAGTTATTATTCCATTGTATTCTAGCATTCATTGTTAACAGATAAAAGGTCTAATAAGTCTGATACTTATTCTTCTGTGTGTAATAACCTGCTTTTTCCCCCTCTCTAGAAGCTTTTAAAATTTTTCTTTTTATTCCTGGAGTTTTAAAGTTTCATTAGGAGATCTCTGTCTCTTTCTATTTCTCCCACTATCCAAAAGTAGCATTTGGTAAGCCAAAATGGTATAAAGCAAAGAAGCAAGTACCACTTATTTATAAGGAAAAATTTTGAGTCTTCCCAGACCCAAAAAACAACCTCTCTCTCAAACTTCTCTGATATCTTAGGACACATCTTGATAACTGAGGCACAAAATAAATTGAGCTAAAGCACAAACACTCATACACACAGTTCACAACTGTGGTGGCTTGATGCAGAGAGGCTGGGTGTAGTTCTTGGGGAAGGTGTGCTGTCTCTGTAAGAGCTCACTCAAAACAAACGCTGAATGCTGTTTCTGCTCTTCACCTTTTTTTCATAAAGTGAAAATCCTCAGATTTCTTTCAGTTAGCTAAAACAAGTACTAATATAGATCTTTCATAGAAGCAAAGTGGTGTAATGAAAACTTTCAAAAAGCGGGGAATACCTATATATAAAGGGGTTTTTTTTGTTTGTTTTTTTGTAAAACATGCTTAGCTAACCTAGGGTTCTTTCAAACAGGACACTTACTTGTTTCTTTCATTCAGGGAGATTTTCTTTAATTATTTTTTCCTCCTATGTTATTTCACCTCTCCTGAGTGTTCTTCTCAGGCAGATTTCTTACTTCAGTGGTTTTATCCTCTGTGTCCTGTAACTTTTCTATAATAATGTCTGTATCTTTTGCTCTACTGGTAGTTTATCATTTTTATCCTACAGCCACTGACTTCCTTTTAACTAGTTAGCTCATTTTTCTTTTCATTTTGTCATCTGATTTTTTTGGTCATAGTTTTACTTTTTTATATCATATCTTCTATTCCTTTTTATGGAAGAAGCTTGTTCTTGTTTTATAGATGTAATATTCTTTTTACTCTTTACAAAGATAATGAGTTTGTTTTTTTTTTTAGGTTGTTTCTTTCTATGATTTATCTTTTCCCATTCTATATGTTTATCTAGGCCCCTATCTTTACACTGTTGAAATTTTTCTCATATGTGATTCCTACCTATATATTAGAATCTATGAATAAAGGACTACATCTGTTAAGAAAGGTAATCAACAGTAACTTCCTGTGCCTAGGGTAGGCATCTTTCCCAGCCGGCTTCTCCCTTATATAAGACACTGACCAGGGATGTTGTATAAATGCATGGTGCATCTTGTCCACCAGGCTGTCTTCCCTAATATCTGTGTGAAGGTTTCCACCAAAATTTCCATTTCCTCAGTGGGTCCTTACTTAAGGTAAGTGGCTTGTTGCATTAGTTTATAATAAGTCATACATTTCAGGGGCACCTGGGTGGCTCAGTTGTTAAGTGTCTGCCTTCAGCTAAGGTCAGGATCCTGGAATCCCAGGATTGAGCCCTGTCTCGGGCTCCCTGCTCAGTGGGGAGCCTGCTTCTTCCTCTCCCACTCCCCCTGCTTGTGTTCCCTCTCTAGCTGTGTCTCTGTCAAATAAATAAATAAAATCTTAAAAAAAAAAGAAAAAAAGTCATACATTTCTGATATTCACGTTTTAAAAGATTATAGAACAGGGGTTAGCACACTTTTTATATGAAGAGCTAGGTGTAAATATTTTCAGTTTTGTAAGCCATACATACAGTATTGCAAGTGTTACCTTGCTATCTTTTTTTTTTTTTTTGAAGATTTTATTCATTTATTCATGAGAGAGAGAGAGAGGCAGAGGGAGAAGCAGGCTCCCCGCAGAGCAGGGAGCCCGATGCGGAACTCGATCCCAGGACCCTGGGATCATGACCTGAGCCGAAGGCAGACGCTCAACCATCTGAGCCACCCAGGAGCCCTGTTACCTTGCTATCTTAACGTGGAAACAGCCACAGACAAAATGTAAATGAATGGATGAGGCCTGCTTTGACCCTAGGCAGGCCGGATCAAGCCACAGTTTGCCAACCCATCTTAGAGAATTCTTAATTTAAAGGCTCAGTATTAAGATGAAATGGAATGAAGAAATTTAAATACAATAAATTTTAAATACAATACAGTTATGTCCTCTACTTCTACCACTAACAAAAGTGATTTCATTTCTTTACTGTTTTATCTTCCAAGGTTATCTGAGGAACAGAAGGGCAGAACCTTGGCACTTTAGAAAGTGTCATTAGGAAAATACCAGACTTAACCACTAAAGACCATGGTATGAGGGTTGAGATTATTATTAAGATTAGGTCCATGAGGGGGCGCCTGGGTGGCTCAGTTGTTAAGCGTCTGCCTTCGGCTCAGGTCATGAGCCCAGGGTCCTGGGATCAAGCTCCACATCGGGCTCCCTGCTTGGCAGGAAGCTTGCTTCTCCCTTTCCCACTCCCCCTGCTTGTATTCCCTCTCTCGCTGTGTCTGTCTCTGTCAAATAAATAAGATTAGGTCCATGTGCATGTGTGTATAAATATAAACATATTTGTGTTATGTGTGTGTGTGTATTATTTTTATCATATTTACTGTGAAATGCATTGGGTAGTCTCTTAAAATACTCCACAAACAGGGGCACCTGGGTAGCTCAATTGATTGAATATCTGCCTTCGGCTCTGGTTATGATCCCAGGGTCCTGGAATCAGGCCAGTATCGGGCTCCCTGGTCCACAGGGAGTCTGCTTCTTCTTCTGCCCCTCCTCCCTCTTGTTCTCTCAATCTCTCAATCCCTCTCTTTCTCAAATAATAAAATCTTAAAAAAGAAATGTAAAATATATAATAAAAAAAAAATACTCCACAAATAAATTTATTGAATAGGAATGTGAAAGGACACATGAATTTAGGTAAACTAGGAAAAAAATAAATGCCAGATCATTTGGCCCTGCTAAAGTAGATAAAGACAAATGAAGATCAATGTGGTTAATGTCTCCTGCCATAATATTCTGGATTGATTGAAATATTTTACTTCAGTCTGATAATTGTTTAGCATTTTGAGCATATGATGATTGTTCATGTATAAAAGAAATGTAGTGTTGGGTGCCTGGGTGGCTCAGTTGGTTAAGCGACTGCCTTCGGCTCAGGTCATGATCCCGGAGTCCTGGGATCGAGTCCCACGTCGGGCTCCCTGCTCAGCAGGGAGTCTGCTTCTCCCTCTGACCCTACCCCCTCTTGGGCTCGCTCTCTCACTCTCTCTCTCTCTCAAATAAATAAATAAAATCTTAAAAAAAAAAAAAAAGAAATGTAGTGTTGAAACAATGACATTGTATTAGATTCATGGCAATTATGTCATGACCCACAAAATTACGTTTCAACTAATATTTCCATATAACAATGATGAGAAAAATTTGCGTTTGCTGTGTTAGTGTTTTGCAAATTACTGGATAATGCAGAATGACAGTCACTCATTTAGTGGATTTCTTAGAAAAATAAAATATTATTAACTCTGGGCAGTTTTAACCATTCAGGAAAACAAAATGGCGTTTTATTTTTACTTGGAAATTGTGTCATTTCATTGTATGTCACGAACAGATATTTTACATGACCCTGGCCTTATTAAACAAATCTGTGTTTCACTTTCTGTCAAATTTGTGTTTTTCCAGGTCAACATTTGAATATTTTACCTCTACTATTAAATTAGAGCTGACTGAGATAAAAAATCAGTTAATTAAAGCATTGACCTTTCTTTCCTCAGTAAAAATGATTATATTGCATACCTCTTTCTACTTCTTCCCTCATTGTAGCTCCTTTCTGGTAGTTAGCATCTGTTTATTCTTTCAACAAATAGTTGGGTAACTACTTGCCAGGCATTGGGAACTAAATAGTGAACCGAACTACCTCTGCCTTGTACAGCTTACATTCTAGAGTGGGGAGAATGCAATAAACAGTTATTTATTGTGTAATATAAAAGTTCTGTAGTAATGTTAGAAGGTAAGTGCCATGGACACAGGGAGAGGGCAAGGGTGTATCTTTTATACAGTGGTTCTACTCTGTCATTTAACATGAATGTTGTCATCTTATTTTCTCTCAATTTATAGTTCCAATGACAGGATTCACACAGAGAGCAACCATTGATCCAGAACTGAATGAAATACATGTCTTATCTGGACTCAGCAAAGATAAAGAAAAGAGGGAGGAGAATGTCAGAAATTCATTCTGGATTTATGACATTGTGAGGAATAGTTGGTAAGGAGCTCTTGTCTGTGTCTCAGTCCCAATGTAACATTTATTTGAGGATGTTGGTTTCTTCAAAAGAAGACAGAAGTAGAAGACTTATGCTAATTTGTGATGTCATGCATTTCAGTGTCAGTATAGGCTTACCTCGTTTTATTGCACTTTGCACATGTTTCAGTTTTTACAAGTTGAAGGTTTGGCAGCTTTGTGTTGAGCGTTTCTATTAGCACCATTTTTCCAGCAGAATTTGCTCACTTTATGTCTGTATGTCATATTTTGATAATTCTCACAGTATTTCAAATCTTTTCATTATTATATTTATTATGGTTATCAGTGATCTTTGATGTTACTGGTGTAATTGTTTTAGGAGTGCCATGAACTGTGCCCATATGAGATGGTGAACTTAATTTATAAATATTGTTTGTGTTCTGACCATTCTACCAGCCATCTGTTCCCTCATCTCTCTCCCTTTCCTTAGACCTCCCTATTCCCTGAGACATAACCATATTGAAATTAGGCCAATTAATAACCCTACAAAGGCCTCTGAGTGTTCAAATGAGGGGGAGAAAGCTAGTCCTCTTGTGCCAAACAGCCAAGTTGTGAATGCAAAGGAAAAGTTCTTGAGGGAAATTAAAAGTGCTGTTCCAGTGAACCCATGAATGATAAAGCAAAACAGCCTTACTGCTGATATGAAGAAAGTTTTAGAGGTTTGGATAGATCAAACCAGCCACAACATTCCCTTAAGCCAAAGCCTGCTGCAGAGCAAAACCCTAACTCTTCAATTCTGTGAAGGCTGAGAGAGGTGAGGAAGCTGCAAAAGAAAAGTTTGAAGCTAGCAGAGGTTGGTTCCTAAGGTTTAAGGAAAGAAGCTGTCTTGGTAACAGCTAAGTGCTGATGTAGAAGCTACAAGTTATCTTAGATCTAACCATGATCATTAATGAAGGTGACTACAATAAATAGCAGATTTTCATTGTAGATGAAACAGCCTCCTATTGGAGTAAGATGCCATCGAGGACTTACATAGCTAGAGAGGAGAAGTCAATGCCTGGCTTCAAAGCTTCAGGGGACAGGCTGACTAACTTGTTAGGTGCTAACACAGTTGGTAACTTTAAGTTGAAGACAGTGCTCACTTATCATTCTGAAAATCTTAGGACCCTTAAAAATTATGATAAATCTACTGTGCGTCTGCTCTGTAAATGGAACAACAAAGCCTAAAGACAGCATATCTGTTTACAGTATGGTTTACTGAACATTTTAAGCCCACTGTTGAGACTGAGTGCTCAGAAAAAAAGATTCATTTCATATTACTGCTCGTTGAGGATGCATCTGGTCATTCAAGAGCTCTAATGGAGATGGAGAATGAGATTAATGTTTTCATGCCTGCTAACACAGCATTCATTCTGTAGCCTGTGGATCAGTGAGCCATTTCAACTTTGAAGTCTTCTTATTTAAGAAATATATTTCATAAGATTACAGCTGCCATAGATTATGAATTACTCTGATGGATCTGGGCAAAGAAAAGTGAAAACCTTCTGGGAAAGGATTCACCATTCTAGATGCCATGAAGAGCATTCAGATTTGTGGGATGAGGTCAAAATACCTACATGAGCAGGAATTTGGAAGAAGTTGATTCCAACCTTCCTGGATGACTTTGAGAGGTTCAAGACTTCGGTGGAGGAAGTAACTGCAGATGTGATGGAAAGAGCAAGAGAACCATTATTAGAAGTGGAGCCTGACAATGTGACTGCATTGCTGCAAGAGATAAAGTGGTTTCTTGAGATGGAACCTACTCCTGGTGTAGACTGTGAAGATTGTAGAAATGACAGCAAAGGATTTAGAATATTACGTAAACTTAGTAAAGCAAGTAGCAGGGTTGAGAGGATTTACTCCAATTTTGAAAGAAGTTCTACTAATGGGTAAAGTGTTGTCAAACAACATTGCATGCTAGAGAGAAATAGTTGATGAAAGGGAGTTGATGCAGCCAATTTCATTATACTTGACCCTTGAACAACACAGGCCTTAGGGGTGCCAACCCCCACACAGTTGGAATTCCATGTATAACCTAACTCCCTATAAACCCAACTACTAATAGCCTACTGTTGATCAGAAGCCTTGTCAATAACATAAACAGTTGACTAATACATATTTTATATGTTATATGTAGTATATACTGTGTTCTTACAATAAGGTAAGAGAGGAAAGAATGTTAAGAAAATCATAAGGAAAGAGAAAATATATTTACCATACTGTACTGTAAAAAAATCTGCGTTATAGTGGATCCGTGTAGTTCAAACCCGTATCGTTCAAGGGTCAACTGTTTTATTTTAAGAAATTGCCACAGCAACCACCACTCTGATCATTTAACAGCCATCAGCATTGAGGCAAGCCCCTCCACCAGCAAAAAGATTATGACTTGCTGAAAACTCAGAGGTTGATTAGCATTTTTTAGCAATAAGTATTTTTTAATTAAGGTATATACATTGTTTTGTAGACATAATGCTGTTGCATGCTTAATAGACTACAGAATAGTATAAACATAACTTCTGTATGCTTTGGGAAACAAAAGAATTCCTTTGACTGACTCAATTACAGTATTTGCTTTATTGTGGTGGTCTGGAAATGAACCCACAACATCTCAGAGGTATATGCCTATATTGGGAAAAGAAGTCAATATTGGTGCCTATGTATACAGTTTGTTCTATGAATGGATTATACCTCTGAATTTTTCAATTAGTAGATGATTCCTGGTCTGGAAGTCAGGAGAATTGTATTTTAGTCTAGATTTTGCTACTAAGTAGATGTGTGAAATTGAGAACAATGTTTTTTTTTAATGTTCCCAGGTGGTCTTGGTTTTGTTTTGTTTTGTTTAAATTCAAGTTAGTTAACACATAGTGTAGTATTGGTTTCAGGAGTAGAATTTAGTGATTCATCATTTACATAAAACACCCAGTGCTCATCCCAACAAGTACCTTTCTTAATGCCCATCACCCATTTAGCTTATCCGCCCCCCCCCCCCAACCCACCTCCCCTCCAGTAAGGCTCAGTTTGTTCTCTATATTTAAGAGTCTCTTATGGTTTGCTTCCCTTTCTGTTTTTATCTTATTTTATTTTTCCTTCCCTTCCCCTCCAGGTGGTCTTAGTTTTGACAAATTAACTGGTTTCGGTAGAGCAGGGTGGGAGGCATTATTTAGTGTTTTCAAACCAGGACCTTTAAGTCACAGAGTATCTCACAGAACTAGTGCTGCACATTTTGCTTTGGAAAACAATGGCCTAGAGAATCCAGCTCAAACATTCTGTGATTACTGCATAAGTGGATATTTTACAAAACAGGAGCTTCAGAGAACTTCCTCCATGCTTGCAGCTAAGGAATTTATTATTTCCAAAGTAGGACATTTATTTTAAGCAGTAAAACTGAAAGAAATCTGTGAGGTTTTTTTATTGTGAATAAATAGATGGAATTATCTTGTCTTTTAGACTTTGCTTTGAACTTTCATATATGCTGTCTGTGTTTCATAACGTGAAATAGGTTGTTCTTAAGTGAGGTTTTGGATGGACATTAAAAGAATGTAAGAATGCCATTCTAACAAATTCGTACTATTGTGTGAGCACGACCAGAACTTTTAAGATTTGATGTGAGCAGATTTATAAATTTTTTGTTGGAATTAGACATCCAGTTAATTTGCTTGCTAAAGTTCTATTAATATTATGTATGCTGCTAATTTTAGGATAAAATGCCTTAAAAAGCAGTATCTTGCAGGTCTTGCGTCTATAAGAATGATCAAGCTGCAAAGGATAATCCAAGTAAAAGTCTTCAGGAGGAAGAACCATGTCCAAGATTTGCCCATCAGCTTGTATATGATGAGTTACACAAGGTACCGTAACTATATCGACTTGTAAACTTTCCAAGACCTATAATCTGATAGAATCCCAAAATAAATGTTTCTGATTATTTTTAAGTGCCTTTGAATAAAAAGTTATAATATATAGCAGACATCACAGAATATATAGCAGACATTCAATATCATTTCTCCCTAAAATTCCTTAAGAGAATAACCATTTTCCATAGTCCAAAGTTCCTGGCACTTTTGCACTTTGCTTTGTAGCTGCATAGATCAGATACATTGCATGACCTGTTGTTTCTACAATATCAATATCCAACTAAAAAATCTACAGTTTTTAGCATTAGGATACCTTGTCCCATGATATAAAAAAGTATATGTAACTTCTGATTTTAGATTTTCCTATTGTGTAAGAAGTCTTTTTATCTTTATTTTTCCTATGACGTGACGTGTTTTTTCTATTGGCCTCACAAAAACAGTCCTGCATTCTCAAGTTTTAGTGTCACTAAATGTTCAGGGTGGTTTCTTTAAACTATGGCTCCCTTAAACTTTACATATAGTTTAGTGATTGGGCTCAGATTATATAATAACTTATTGACAAAGCTTGTATTCCTTTTATATAGGCCATAGGTGACTATTTAAATTCCATATCACGGGGTGCCTGGGTGGCTCAGTCGTTGGGCGTCTGCCTTCGGCTCAGGTCATGATCCCAGGGTCCTGGGATCGAGCCCCGCATCGGGCTCCTTGCTCTGAGGGAGGTCTGCTTCTCTCTCTACCACTCCCTTGCTTGTGTTCCTGCTCTCGCTATCTCTCTCTCTGTCAAATGAATAAATAAAATCTTTAAAAAAAAAAAAATTCCGTATCACTTCAGACCTTTAGGTAAATATTACCATAAGAGTGAATAAAAGCCCTTTCTCTTAGAGTCTCCCAGATTAAAGGGTAAATGAATTTGGATCTGTAGGATAGAAGTAATATCGGTATTGTATAACACTGTTGAACATATATGTTTTCAAAACTTCAGGAACTGTTTTAACACTTTGTTTAAGTACAGAATATCACTAAAATTATACCAATGAAATCATTATTGCATTCCTTTTTCATTTCTTTTTTTTTTTGGTATTGAATAATGTAATATTTTACAAGTTATGTCACAAATTATATGTACCACTTAATATTTGGCAGTAAGCCTAAAGCAAAATTAAGATGCTAAAATTTAAAAGTTCTAGTTACTATTGACCTTCGGTGATTCAACATGTGTGTCAGAGTTTTATTAAAGATCTTGTTTGTTGTTATGATCAACACTTGGTTAACTTAATAATCCCCATTATTTGTTGCCCTAAGTAAACTCTTTATCATGGATTAGCTTCTTACTATCGTTGCTTTTGTTTCATGTCTTCCATTGTCAGTATAATTGTGGTAATACAGCTCATTTTAATCTAAAATGCAGCTTAAGGAAGTAGCCACAGTACTTTAAAATGGAAGTGAGAAACATCAAAAGAAGCCTTTGTTAGAAATGCAGTAATGTTTTAATTATTACTGTTACACTTTGCTACCAAAATGAAGAAATTTTATTATAACTTCTGTAGTTTCCGGAGTATGCATGCATCTTAAAATGTGGCTTGTTCTGTTTATTTTAGGTTCATTATTTATTTGGTGGGAATCCAGGAAAATCTTGCTCTCCAAAGATGAGATTAGATGACTTCTGGTCACTGAAGTTATGTAGGCCTTCAAAAGATTACTTACTGAGGCACTGCAAGTACCTGATAAGAAAACACAGGTATAAAAATAACTCACTGAAAACTTTTATTTAACATTATCAGCTCTTGTTGGTGTTACCTCGACTTTGGAGATAGGGCTTCGTCTTTGGAAATTTACTAATACTACAGTGTAAATACTGTGAAGATCATGACTCTCGTAAATGCCCTTTTATTTTCCTTATTTTTGCTTTCCTCTTTCAAAGGAAGATACAGAGTGAAGATATATATTGATGCTAAAATTTTCTAGATATAGAACAAGGAAATTTTGCAACTGTTAAATGGAAGAAATTTCTATGAAGGTGATGAACCTATCTTCCAGTAACTCAAGGCCTACTCAGTACAAAGTACATCAGTTCTATATTATTGCCATATGCCTAGCCTATTGATAACTTTCTTAACAGTGAATGCGATGATATAGCTGACTAAATTATCTTCCTAATCTGATGTTTCAGAATACAACTTCAAATATGATTTTGGTTTTACATCATTCACTTTGCCATTTAATTGCAAAATCATGTAATCAAACATTTTCATATATATTTCGTGGGTCATGTTTGCTTTTGAGCCCTAGCAGGTGATGATAAGCTACTGAAAAATGTAGAAAAGCATATCTGTCCTTTAGTTATTGATAATGTTCGATGGTAAGAAAAGTTTATAGTTTGGAAGGAGAAGTTTAGTCTTTAATGATGATAATAGTTACCATTTATTGAGCAATTTTTTTGTGCTAGATCTTGCATATTATTCCTACAGTAAGACAATTGAATAAGTACTGTTCTTATCACTATTTCATAAAAGAAGAAATGGGTATTTTTAAATGGGTTATATAATTCATCTAGGGTCACTCAGCTGTAAGTGACACAGCCAGGATATGGTCCTGAGTATTTTGACTCCAGCATTCATCACTTCACCACCACCATCACCACTACACATGCATACATGTATGTCTGTGTATTTACACATACATGTTTATATGTCTATTATATATATTTATGTATTTTATCTTACATAGAATATAAATACATAAAAATCTCTGGTATAAATTATTAAACTGTTTTCCTTTATCATATCATGTTTACTTACTGTTCCCTTCTCTGCTTTCACAAGTTGTACTTGAAAGATAAATTAATAACAGAAGCTAGTTACTTCTGTTACTTTGGCATTACTGTGAGTAATTAGTGTATTTCCTGTAGAATCTACAGGAGAAAGGGTCTGAATCCTCTTGTTGACTGGATGACAAGAGATAAATTCTGTTTTATTAATAAGATTTAAGCTTGAGGTACCTTCAACTAAGGTGTACACTGCTAAAATTTTATTCTTTAGTATTTTACTTAATGTTAGAGTTAGTTTTTCAAGGATGAGACAGAGAGGAAATTATAGTGCTCTTTTTCTACTTCAGATACAGGAACGGGTAGTTGGGTAATTAAATTGAGCTTTTTAAAAATTTCCTGACCAGGAGCCCATTGGAGATTAGAGGAGATTTTTAGGTACTATATGTAAAGAATTTGAATTCACTTATAAACATTTTCCTCTGGCTTTTAATTTAAAAAAGTAATGTATGGTTAATAAAAAAAAATAGGTCCTCTCACCCTGCAAAATAATTGAATCATGCATCATCCCGTCAATTGAGAAATAACAACTTACTGTTGTGGTGTGTATCCTTTATATGTGCATACATGTATTTTTGTTTAACTGAAAAATAGGGATCATAATGCTTTGAATCTGATTTCTTTCAATGAATGATATATTACAGACATTACCATGTTAATAAATACAAATACAAATTATAATTCTAATGGCTGCATAGTGTTCTATTTTATGTGTAATTTTCTTAGTTTACTTTTGTAAAATATTTAGATTATTTCCAGCTTATTTGCTATTATAAATAATACTGTAATATTATTATATACTTCCATATGTACCCCTATCCAAAAATTCTGTAGGATATTGGTAGAATTGGTGAATTATCAGTTGCCCTCCAGAAAGTTAATTTGCATTCCTTCCAGAAGTAAGTAGGATTATTCATTTTCTCACAGCCACACCATTGTGAGAAGTATTATTATTTTTTTTAATCTTTGATGATTGTTTTTTTCTTTTGAAAATATATCATTGGGCACGTGAAATGACAATTTGTGGAAATCTGAAATATTATATATTATGGCATGTTTTAAGTTTTAAGTACAAACACCACTGTTAGTGACTTGTGCTGGTAAAAGGCATAAAGTAAGGAATGTCAGTGGATAAAGAATAAAAGATAATAATCAGTAACAAATCATTTAAACTTTAAATATATGATGAAAAACTCTAGCAAATTTTTTGAGGATGAGAATGGTTCATAAAATAGTGACTGAAGCTGAGAGGCAACAAGTTTGTGTGATGGGGCAAAGAAGCAGCCTTTGAAATTTTCTACCATGGGAAAAGAAGTATGCTAGCTCATCTCAGAACTGAAACCAGAAAAGCCCTGAAAGGAGAATTTAAGAACATTTAAAGACCCTATCCATTTATATAGAGTATTTTCTTTTTTTTTTTTTTTTTTAATTTTATTTATTTATTTGACAGAGAGAGACACAGCCAGAGAGGGAACACTAGCAGGGGGAGTGGGAGAGGGAGAAGCAGGCTTCCCTCTGAGCACAGAGCCCGATGCAGGGCTTGATCCCAGGACCGGATCATGACCTGAGCCGAAGGCAGACGGTTAATGACTGAGCCGCCCAGGCGCCCCTATATAGAGTATTTTCATTTAGAGTAGTAATAGTAGCATAAAATTATGGAACACAGTTTTATTCTTTTCTGATTGTGATTACTTTTTGACTTCAGTTTTAGGAGCTAATGTCTTACATTGGAAAAAGTACTAGACCTGAACCTTGGATTGATCTTTAAGCCTTGTAACTTCGTCTTTCTGGAGATCACTTTGCTCATGTATAAAATGGCCAGAACAACCACCTATGGGTCTTTATACATAAGTGAAACTTCATTTATTGAAGAAATATTTATTAAGCACCTACTGTGTGCTAGGTATTATCCTAGGTTCTGTGGATATGTCAGTGAAGAAAATAAGCAAAAATTCCTATCCCCAAGTTTCTATCTTATGAAGGAAGACTAGCAGTAAACATAATACAGAATTTATATGTTAATAAGTATTATGAAAAAGAACTAAAACAGGTTAAGAACTATTTTGTACAAGTTAGGGAGCTGGGTATGTGATTTTTAAATAAGAATATTAGGATAGACCTCACTGCAAAGGTGAATAGTGACCTAAAGAACATAAGGGAAGAAGGGCTACCTAGGTGGCTCAGTTAGGCAACCGACTCTTGATTTCAGGACTCAGGTCATGATTTCATGGTCATGAGATCAAGCCCCACATCGGGCTCCTTGCTCAGTGCAGAGTCAGCTTGAGATTCTCCCTCTCCCACTGCCCCTCCCCCCAACTTGCACGTGAGTTTGCCCTCTCTCTGAAATAAATACATAAATAAATCTTTTTTAAAAAATAAAGAATATGAGAGAACAAATCATGTAGATATTTGAGAGGAAAAGTGTTCCAGATAGGTAATAGACAAGGCTCTGAGGTTAAAAATATGCCTGGATTATTTGAGGAATAAACTGAGGAGAACAGTGTGGTAGAAGTAGAATGAGTGAGGTGATTGTGGTAGGAAATGAGGTCAGAGAGATAAGAAGGGGACAGTTGGTGAAGGGTCTTTCGCTTTTACTCTGAGTGAAAGGAGAGCATTGAAAGATTTTACGTAGAGGAATAACACACTCAGATTTCTCTTTTAATAAAAACCATTCTAGGTTTTCTTCCAAAAGAACTGAGTAAAAGGTTGAGATCAAGAAAGCCCAGTAAGATTCTGGATAAACTTTGAAGATTGCACCAACAGAATTTCTTGATGGATTGGATATGGGTATGAAAGGAGAGTAGTCAGGGCATCCTGAGAATCTTGTCTACTACTAATTTGAACTGATAGTCAAAGGCCCATTTTATTTATTTATTTACTTATTTATTTTTATTTTTATTTATTTTTAAAGATTTTATTTTTAAGTAATCTCTACCCCCAGTGTGGGGCTCAAACTCACAACCCCTAGGTCAAAGAGTCACATGTTCCACTGCCTGAGCCAGCCAGGCGCCCCTGGCCCATTTTAGATATTTGAAAAGACATAGGCTTTTTTTTCTACCAACCCTTAGATGAATTCAGGAGTTTGAGGGACGTTGCTACATTGCAGGCAGAATAGATAGAAGTTGCTTTATATGAATTGAAATAGAGCATGAGAATTACCTTTTTAATTTAAATTTCATATTAAATTAGATACCTAGTGTTTCATTCTGTGGGACCTTACCCTATACTGCTGGGCTGGCTTATTTATTTTCATTATTATTCTTATGGAAAACAGTTACGTATTCTATTTAGTTAAAATATAAATTTGGAAGGAGAGAAGTATACTGTATGCCAAGAAATGTGTCTTTGTTCTTTTTTTTTTTTTTTTTTTTTTATTCATTTATTTGACAGAGGGAGACACAGCGAGAGAGGGAACACAAGCAGGGGGAGTGGGAGAGGGAGAAGCAGGCTCCCCGCCGAGCAGGGAGCCCGATGCGGGGCTCGATCCCAGGACCCTGGGATCATGACCTGAGCCGAAGGCAGACACTTAACGACTGAGCCACCCAGGCGCCCCTGTGTCTTTGTTCTTAATGGTACCATGCAGTACAGTAAATAAATACCACTATTATTTTTCCCTGTAACATTCAAATTTACAGACTTATCAACAATTTGGGGTAGAAAGGAGCAAAAGAAAAACTTCTTAATAGGGTTGATTCCTGTTCCTCTAGGTACAGGACACAGTTGTTGGCTGAAATAGAATTCTAGACTGCAGACATAAGTCCAATGATGAGTTTGTGCAGGCCAAAGAAAGCTTAGAAAAAAGAGAGAAAACACACCTTCTAGGAAAATGGATCTCATGACTGGATCTTAATAGGATGGTAGGTGTGTTGGTTAAGTTATTTCAGGAATTAAAGGATAAAGACATTCTTAGGATATCTCACTAAAAGAGAAGTTATTATGAGAATATCCAGACAATTCCGGCATTGCCTCAACCTTTGAACAGTGAGGCCTAATGAAGAATTTTTTTTTTTTTAAAGATTTTATTTATTTATTTGAGAGAGAGAGAATGAGAGACAGCATGAGAGGGGGGAGGGTCAGAGGGAGAAGCAGACTCCCTGCCGAGCAGGGAGCCCGATGCGGGACTCGATCCCGGGACTCCAGGATCATGACCTGAGCCGAAGGCAGTCGCCTAACCAACTGAGCCACCCAGGCGCCCATGGGCCTAATGAAGAATTATTTAGGGTCTCAGAACAATTCTACTAGCAAGGAGTCACTATAGTAGCTTTCCTTATAACTGAACCTCTGTCTTTCTGCTGCTTTTTACCTGCTTCTCCTGTTCTGCTGATTATTCCAAATTCTGCTTTCCCTCAATCTCATAGCTTCCAAAGACAGATAGACAGCTAGATAGGTACGTGTGGCTTTGGTAAATAAGTAGGTAGATAGATAGGAAGAAAGGAAAGAAAAGAGGGATAGGGAGGGAAGGAATCTACCTACCATCTCATGTGTTCTATTTACTGACTTCTATGTTTTGTGTGTCTTTTATGTCCTTGTGTATCTCACATTCAGATTCTCTCAGAGAGTATCTTCTTAGAGAGGGCTCCCTGGGGAGAGTACCCCTATTGGGAATAATTCTGCCAGGCTACTTTATAAACTGCTGATCAAGCTTCAGAGGATTGCTTTTGTCTCAGGTGCCAAAATTGGTCTAACCCATTTTGGACAAGATGGTAGAGTAACATGACCTCTGCCTAAGGAGCTCTCTCATCTGAGGGCTTGAAGGCTAGCTGACAGGCCTGGTACTATCTGATACAACAAAGCTGTAAAATTTTGCTAGTCTTTGCCCTGCTTGAAATACAGGTACTCTGTCTCTGAGATTAGCTCTAAAGACAGGAAATTATTGATGCCATCAGCCTGAACACCATTGTGAAAGGCTCATTATTTTCCTTTCCCAGGTGAAATTAAATGTCTTCTTTTCTTTTTCTCTGTACAATATTTTGAAAAGCATACCAACTTATTACAAATAAATCCATATATAATTATGCCATAACAAAAGATTTAAATAGATAAACAGTCCCAAGCAGATTTTTTTTTTTCTGTTAGAGAACTAACTCATTGTTTTCTTTTCAGCTTTGGAATCAGATGGATCTGTGTTTGATTCTACTTCTGCTATTTTTTAGTTCTTATCTTGGCTGAGTTCATTCTGAGCCTCAGTTTCTCATCTGTAAAAAATGATAAAGTTTATTGTCATCCGAGTAGGGGTAAATGCAGTAATATATGTAAAATACTCAATACAGTGTCTAGCACATAATACGCTTGATAAGTAATTGCTACAGTTGTTTTCATTATTGACTGAGACAGGAAATCTTATTAAAAATATTTAATCAATTTAAAATATATATTTTTTCAGGGGCGCCTGGGTGGCTCAGTCGGTTAAGCGTCTGCCTTCGGCTCAGGTCATGATCTCCAGGTCCTGGGATCGAGCCCCACATCGGGCTCCCTGCTCAGCAGGGAGTCTGCTTCTCTCTCTTCCTCTGCCTCTCCCCACTGCTCCTGTTCTCTCTCTCACTCTGTATCTCTGTCTCAAATGAATAAAATAAAAAAAAAATTCTTTAAAATATATTTTTTTTCCATCAGTGTTAATGATAGAAAAGAAACTATACTCATTTCTATTTCTGAAGTATCCCGTTAGGCACCTCTGGTGGAATGTATATTACACAGATCTAACCAGATATTTTTATTTTAGCTCTACTTGTTTTTTATGAAACATATTCAGCTCTTTTGCAGTTTTGTTATGTAAAATATTTGACATGTTCACTATGTTTCATAGTTGATTTAATCTTAGCTTGCAGTTTTAGAGGAGGGTAGGAAGTGCTCCCCCCCGTCTCTAGCACCGTGACGCCTGTGCCCACCTGGCATTATCATTACTTCTGCGGGGCAGTGTTCGCACTTCTGGATTCCCAAACACAGGTTTTTGTTAGATACCCGCAGTGACTCCTCAGACAGAGTATTCCACTGCAGGTCTGAATGACATTTCTGATGTTTTCTCATAACTCCAGACAATTATTATTCTTGTTTACATTTTCTAGGTTTGAAGAAAAGGCCCAAATGGACCCCCTTAGTGCTCTGAAATATTTACAAAACGATCTTTATATAACTGTGGATCATTCAGACCCAGAAGAGACAAAAGAGGTAAAAACTTGCTGTTTTTTCTCTTAGATGTTTAAAGGAAATGAGGAAAATATGATGACACTAATAATTTTTAAAGTAGCCCAGAGCAGATGAAATAAAAATTGAATAGGCTTACTTTCATGTGATGATAAAAGGTTCAGGTCACGCAAAAAAAACCTTGATCCTTTCAGAAAAGGATTCTCAGGTTTAAAGTTTTAGCCTAGACATTAGTTTTGTGTGTTGGGAAGGAAATAGAAATTTTTACTTCCGTAGTCCCATGCGTCTTTCACTTAAGGATTACATAATGGCTCAATATAAACTTTTCTCTTGATACTCCAAAATCCCGTAAGAGAAGAAAGAAAACTCTCCTCTTTTAGAAGAAGTAAGTGAAGAGAGGTTGGTAGGAGTAGAATCCCTGCTACCTTGATATTTAGTTATATGAATGTCATAGCAGAATAGTTCAACTACGTCTACTGACTTCTTTCATCAGGAGTCCCTGACCTTGAGAAATTAGTAGCAGATAATTACTTTTCAGGGTTTTTTTTCTTACTAATACTAGAGGGAGAAGAGAAGATGTAATATTTTTAGGGCATATTTGCTTATCTACAGTGTGTGAATACACCTGCAGTGGGTTTCATAGTCTGACAGCCTGTCTTCCTACTAACCGCTGAGATTCCTTTTGTCACTTTTAACTTTTGCCAAGCATCCTTGTGCATAGTTCATCTAGCAACATCTGAACTGCAATCCATTTTACCTTCCACTCACAGAATTGGTACTGATGATATATGGTTCTGTCCCTACTATCTATTTCCCTGTTCTGTTGCTTTGCTTTGGCTTTGCAATAGCAACATCCAGCAGTGCTTTTTTCTTGTTCAGCGATGACACAGGTTTCAGATTTAATGTCAAGTCACTTTCAGGTACCAGGTTCGTTATACTTTCCAGCAGTAGAGCTTGCATTTCCTTGGCACCAAAACAAAGAGAGAGATTCTCTTTCATAGTTGCCTACTGTGAAATAAGTCTGATTGCTCTTAGTCAGTTTTGGTTATAACCCTTCCCTAGGAGGAGAATCAGTTTTAGAACCACCACCCTCCCCCCTCCGAAGGGGGACAGTTAATTGTCTCTCCTTGAGTCTTCAATCAATTCATGATACTATTGAAATGGTGAAACTGTCATAGTTTTGCCAAGTAGCAGAATATGTTTGGTTTCATCTGTTATGGCTTATAACTGAACATAGTTGTCATTTTTATTAGACCATGCATTTGAAAGTTATAAATAGATTTCCTTGTGTTTTCTCCATAGTCTATCTAAAATGGCTCTAACCCGGGAACATTCATTTTTCTCTTATTTTTTAAAACCAAACCAAAACAAAATATTGCAAAGTAAATAAATTCAGCTGTGTGAACTGCAAGTAGGCCAAAGAAAACAGACAGTTTGTTCTTAAAGCTAAGCTAATGGGAAAAACCAGGACAGGGAGGTATCTCAAGTTCAAACAGAGCCATTTTAAAAATTGGGGTAGCAGGTTTCTCTTTTTCTCCTCTCCTCTGTAGTTTGAAATTATGATTTTGTAGGCCACAGATTTCCATTTTTTAAAAGCTTTATGTATCAAGAGTTGTTTAGCCCTAATAGAAGTTAGTTAAAATGGTGCTGTGCGTATGTCTGTCAGCATCAGAATTGCTTCAGAGACTTTTTCAAAACAATACCCTCACCCTAAGAGTCTCTCTTCTGCCCTTATGTAACAGAAAACACTGCTGACATTGAGGATTACTGGTCTGTAAGATTATTATTTTGTTTAAAAATGTGTAATGGATTTTGTTTTGGAAAAAGAAATCCTTTGGTGACAGTTCTAGGATATATACTGAGAGTATTTGTTAGTAAGGCATATAGATCTTCACTTTCCTTATAAGATATCATTCCACTTATCAAAAAAGACCTTACGGTTGTTTACTGCTTGTTTTTGTTCTCTCGGTATATTTTACAAAATTTATTATATTAAATGATTGTATCAGCAGCTAGAAGCGGTTTTTAGATTTCTCTGTTTTTTGGAAGGCCGGTTATCATGATGATCATCATCATTGTGCCTATTATTGGAAAAATGATGATGGACTACCAGCTGTATGCCAAATAATGATTTTTTGCTTTCGTCCAGTCTCCAGAATGTGGAATCTAAATTGGCAGTGAGCTGCTGATAAACCCTATGAAAATATTTTTTTTTCTAGAAAAGGCCCGAGACAAGGTTGCCTAAATTAATTCTGCCATTTTCAGAGAAGATTCTATAATAGAGAAGGAATGAGAAAAACAAGTTTTGAGCCAGTATTACACATTTTGTATTAATTACATTTCTGCTGAGCTTCCAAAGTACTGGTGTCATTCATTTAACAGATGTGTGTTGAGTCCCTACAATATGCCAGGCATTTTTCTAGGCACAGGAAATATATTGGTGAACCAAGCAAAATACCTGGCCTGGGTGGTACTTATTACTAGTGGTGAGAGATGATAAACATATTAAATAAGCAAATTATGTAGTACATTAGTAATGATAGGTATTATGGGAAAATTAAAGAGAGATAAGAAGGGTAAAGAGAGATCAGAATTAGAAGGGGTGAAAATTGGACAGTTGCAGTATTAATAGGATGCTCTTAATAGGCCTCATTTAGAAATGGTATGTACACAAAGACTTGAAGGGTGTGAGGAAGTGATGTAAGTAGATAATTTGGGGAAGATAATTCCTGGCAAAGGGAGGGTTAGAACAAAGACCCGAGGGTGGGAGCATCCTGGCTTTGTTTAGGAGAACAGCCAGGAGGCCACTGTGGCTGGAGTAGAGGTAAGAATGATGGGAGTAGTCACAGATGAGGTCAGAGATTGGGATTGGGAGATCAGATTGTGAATAACTTCCTAAGTCAGTGTTAGGACTTTGGTTATTACTCTAAATGAGTAAGTAGCGAGGTCAGGGTATTACGCAGAAGAGTGATGTGATCTGCTTTATGTCTTACCTGACTTAAGATCACTAAAATCTAAGATCACTCGCATTGCTGTATTGAGAATAGACTAAAGGGGAGAGTAAGAATGGAGGCGGAGAGACCTATAAAAGAGATTGTAGAAATCTAAGCAAGGGATTATTGTAGTGCACACCAAAGTAGCAGCAGTAGAAATAGAAGTAAAGTAGATCAGATTCTCAGTGTATATTAAAAGTAGAACCAACAGTGGGAATGCAGTCTGGTACAGCCACTATGGAAAACAGTGGGGAAGTTCCTCAAAAAGTTAAAAATAGAACTACCACACGATCCAGCAATTGCACTACTAGGTATTTACCCAAAAAATACAAAAACACTAATTCAAAGGGATACGTGTACTTTGATGTTTATAGCAGCATTATCTACAATAGCCAAATTATGGAAATAGCCCAAGTATCCATCAGTACACACACACACACACACACACACACACACCTGAATATTACTCAGCCATAAAAAAGAATGAAATCTTGTTATTTGCAACAACATGGATGGAGCTAGAGAGTATTACGCTAAATGAAATAAGTCAGTCAGAGAAAGACAAATACCATATGATTTCACTCATATGTGGAATTTAAGAAACAAAACAAATGAGCAAAGAGGGAAAAAAAAAAGAGGCAAACCAAGAAACAGACTTTTTTAAGTACTCTCTACACTCAGCGTGGGCCTCAAACATACAACCCCAACTCTAGAGTCGCACGCTCTACCGACTGAGCCAGCCAGGTGCCCCAACAGACTCTTAACTATAGAGAACAAACTGATGGTTACCAGGAGGTGGGGGGGTTGGGGTTAAATAGGTGATGGGAATGAGGGAATGCACTCATTGTGGTGAGCACTGGGTGATGTATGGGAGTGTTGAATCACTATATTGTACACCTGAAACTAATATTACACTGTATGTTAACTGGAATTTAAATAAAACTTAAAAAAAGTAATACCAACAGAATTTTATGATCGATGGGATGTAGGGTTTGAAAGAAATGACTCCAGAGTTACTAGCCTGAGTATATGGAGCTGTTATCAACTGAAATGAGAAGTGCCTGGGTAGACCCAGTTTGTGGTCATAGATAGGGGCTCCTGACTGGGATCAGGTGTATAATGTTGGATATCTCCAGTTTGAGATGCCTGTGGAACAGCCAACCTTATACATTGAGGTGATGGTTGGATATTCATGTCTGGCTTTATTCAGATTATGTAATATCACTTGGTACCTGTTGTACGTATCAGGCCAGTACACATCAGTTCCACTTAATCAGATTATTAAAACAATAGTTTTCACCCTGTCCTTTTGTATGTAGAACCAGTGGGTTTATCTTTCACCTTAGAAGTCAGAAAAGAGGAACAAATTAACCCTCAAATAAGTAGAAGATAGGAAATTAGTGAAATAGGAAACAATAGAAAAAAATTTAAGAAGTGAAAAGTTGGTTCTTTGAAAATGTGAATAAAATAGCAAGACTTAGAAAGAACAAAATAGTGAAAATATAAATTGTCAGCATCATTATGGACCCTATAGATACATAAAAAGGGAATAAGGAAATATTATGAACAGCTGTCAGCAAATTCAGCTACTTGATGAAATGGACAAATTCCTTAGAAGACACAGCAGAACAGACACAGGAAGAATTAGAAAATCTTAAGGAACTCTGTATCAATTACAGACATAGACTGAATTTGTAATTGAAAACTTTCTAGGGGCGCCTGGGTGGCTCAGTCGTTAAGCGTCTGCCTTCTGCTCAGGTCATGATCCCAGGGTCCTGGGATCGAGCCCCACATCGGGCTCCCTGCTCGGCAGGAAGCCTGCTTCTCCCTCTCCCACTCCCCCTGCTTGTGTTCCTCCTCTCGCTATGTCTCTCTCTGTCAAATAAATAAAATCTTAAAAAAAAAAAAAAAAAGAAAAAGAAAACTTTCTAACAAAACTGTAGTTCTAAATGGCTTTCTCAGTAAAAACCCAATAAAAATAGTACAAGCAGAGAAAATTATAGACCTCTTGTGAATGTAGATGCAAAATTCTTAATAAAATTTTAGTTACTTGAATCCAGCAATATATAAAAAGGTTAATGCGCAATGACCAAGTGAGGGTTTATTCTAGGAACTTAAGGTTGGTTTAACATTTGAAAATCAGTGATACACCACCCTGACAGAATAAAGGAGGAAAACCACAGATCATCTCAATAAGTGAAGAACAAGCATTTGACATGATTAAAAACCCATTCATGATTAAAAAAAAAAAAATTCTTAGCAAACTAGAAATGAAAAGAAACTTCCTAAATCTCATACAGGGCATCTATGAAAAATATAACAACTAGCACTATACTTAATTGTAAAACTCTTTCCCTAAAGATTGTGACAAGGAAAGGATGTCTGCTGTCAGTAGACACCCTCTATTCAGCATTGTGCCAGAAGTTGTAGCTAGTGCCATAAGAAAAAGAAATACACAGCATATGGACTGGAAAGGAAAACTGTGTGTAGATCACATTATTGTGTACATGGAAAGCCCCATGTAATCTACAAAACAATAGTACTAAGATAAGTAAATTTAGCAAGATTACAGAATACAAGGCCAGTAGAAAAAAAAACCAATTATTTTTATATTAGCAATGAACAGTTAGAAAACGAAAATTTTAAACCTGTTTATATTAATGCCACAATAAATATGTAGTAATAAGTCTGTTATAAGAAATAAATGGAGAGAGATACCACATTTTATGGATTGAAAGACTAAGAATTGTTAAGATGCCCATTCTCCCCAAATTGGTTTTTAATTTAATGTAGTCCCTATCACTATTATGGCAAGTTTGGATTTCTTTGTTGTTGTTGAAAAAAATAGGCAAACTGATTCTAAAATTTATATGGAAAAGCAGAGGCCCTGAACAAGTCAAAACACTCTTGAAAACAGAAAAAGTTAGAGGTTTCATAACACCTGATTTCAGGGTTCTGTATAAGCCACAATAATCAAGTGGTACTGTGGTACTGGCTTAGGGATAGACAAATAGATCAGTAGAACAGAACAGAGTTCAGAAGTAGACCCACATGTATGTGGTCAGTTGATTTTTTTGACCAGGATGCCAAGTCCAGTGGGGAATTGGTAAGTCTTTTTAACAAATGATACTGATATCTCAACCCCTGTCTCACACAAAAACTGATTTAAGATGGACCTAAATATAATATCTAAAACAGTAAAGCTTCAAGAAGAAAACATCTTTACAACCTTGGGATAGACAGAGATTTCTTGGACATGACAAAGGCAGTAACCATAAAAGAACCATAAAAAAAGAACCATAAAAGAAAAAACATGGGGGCACCTGGGTAGGAAGTCGGTTAGGTGTCTGACTCATGATCTGGGGGTTGTGAGATTGAGCCCTGCTTTGGGCTCTGCACTGGGCATGGAGCCTGCCCATTGGGATTCTCTCTCCCTATCCCTCTTCCCCTTCCCTCCTTCCCCCCACCCTGCCACGTGCAGTCTCTCTCAAATAAATAAATAAATCTTAAAAAAATCCTGATAAGTTGGGATTTCAACAGAAGTAAAATTTCATAAAAGACATTAGAAAAATAGAAAAGCAACAGACTAAATAATACTTGTAATAGATATATATGACAGAGGACTAATACCCAGAATATTTAAAAAACAAACACAGATTTTAAATTCTTCCTTTTGTTCCCTTTTTCCTAACTCTTGCTTAGATAATTCCTCTAGGATATTTGTCCAGTTTCTGGCCTTCAAAAGACCACTCGTCAGGGCTTACAAATATTAATGTGATTGATACCTGAAGTTTTAAAGGCTGGAAGCACAGGTATAAAATACATCCTGAGGAATCAGTGGTATCAACCACTTAGGTCTTACAAAGTGCTAAGTAATTCCATTGAGATTCTACTCATTGGTCTATTCTCTTCCTTTAATATACCTATTTTCCAGCATCCTCATTCAAGATAAAGATGAATAGTTCTCCCAAATTAAATACCGTAGTTCTAAATATTCTCAATTTCAGTTAACCTGTTGTTTGTTCACAATACATACTTTAATAAATTTTAAAAATAAAATAATTCCAAGACTTGGTCCAGTATTTTGTAAAGCAGTCCAGTAGAAAAATCAGCATATTCTTTAATCTAAATGTAGTGTTCTTGCTACTATTTGGTGAATAGACTTAGGCAGCACATGTGCAGAGACATACAGTGGCTAATAAATGGTATGTTATTTTTCTCTAATATGCTTAGCCAGCTAATTTGCTTCTATTTTTCTTTTACAGTTTCAGCTCCTAGCTTCAGCTCTATTCAAATCTGGTTCAGATTTTACAGCTCTAGGTAAGTATTCCAGTGTAGTTTATCCAGCTTAGATGCCCTAGCTTTGGGGAATTGGGTTTTGGTTTCTTTTAAATGAAACATCAGGTGAGATGTTCATCTAAACAAATGGAGCAAGTTTCAAGGTAGCATGCAAAACTTCTAATAACCTGCTACAGAGTTATTTTCCATGCATCAGTCACCAGTTCATGGGTTAGTTTGCAGTTCCTATTACACCAGTTGCTAGGTTATTAGGCAAACATGGCAGTAGAAGCATGATCAAAATAAATTAACTTGTATAACATTGTTTTGGAATGTAGGCTGTGAATTACTGGTACAGTTACTATGAGATAACACTTCTTGTTTGAATGATTTTTTCTCTGTTTGTTCTTTGTGGAGTTGTGTCGGATCAACAGATTGGTGATGGGGTAGGCAGTGAAAAAATGTTTTGAGCTCTGAGAAAATGCATTATCTCTTTCCTGAAAATGGGAATTTTTGTGTGCTGTTATCTTAATTGTTTAAGATAGATTCTACTTGAAACTCTGGTGTTTCTCAGACACCCCAGACAGGGGCATCAGTCTTCATTTAGAAATACTCTCATTTGGTATTAATGAATTATTAAAGTAAGCTAGACTGTAGTGAAGTGGGGAATTCGTAGAAGTGCCACAACCCAGAGCTTCATTCAGGTCAATTTTTAAGAATCTTTTCATTAGGATAAGTCATTATGATAGCTTTACTTTTTCAACAAGATTGTAGGCTTTTGAAGTGTGGGAATTTCCAGCTTTCCTCTTGTCATTATAAAATACAGTCACACTGTGAATGCTTATTAATTCCATTGATGCCAGTGCTATTATTGTTTGCCTTAACATTGAGCAGTAATACTGAAATTTTCCAGGATATGTAATACAGATACTACTCTTTATCTCTGGAATAAAATAACATTTTGGAATATCAATTTAATTTCCTCATTGTTTGTCCTTTTGCCTCCTAAAGGTGAACCATACCTCAAAGGAAAAAACAGAGCATATATAATTCTGGTGTTTTTCAGTGAGATGGGAAAGAATAGGAATTTTCCTTGGGGTCTTGCCCTTTCTTGTTCCATAACCAGTAATTGAGGCTTCTCCACTGATCTAGGCAACTCTAGTTCTGAGTTCTAATTCCAGAATACATAGGATTCCACAGGGCAGGACTGAGCAGACTGCCGTAAAACATAGGTTCTCTGATAATTAAGATAATCATTTACCACGGTTCCATACATATAAATGTCTTGAGGCTAATAGAGATCTTAACCTTGTGATGGAGAACGTAGGCATAAGCATTATTTTAGAAAGTCCATACCCTTGTGAATTTCGTCATTTGAAACAGAGATTTCGTGATACATGAATTAGGAGCCTGGCACATAGATACTTTGAATAAACATGTGCCTTGTTATGTATGGATACCACAGCCCAGAGCCATTATTTTTATTTTATTGGTGGGCAGCACTAAAATGTCTCTGGCTGACTTATATGTAGCCTTTATTTATCTATTTATTTTTTAAAGATTTTATTTATTTATTTGACAGACAGCGAGAGAGGGAACACAAGCAGGGGGAGTGGGAGAGGGAGAAGCAGGCTTCCCGCTGAGCAGAGAGCGGGATGTGGGGCTTGATCCCAGGACTCTGGGATCATGACCTGAGCCGAAGGCAGACGCTTAACAACTGAGCCACTGAGGCGCCCCATATGTAGCCTTTAGAACAAGAATTTCTTGGCAGTAACTTAAATACGTTAGTCTGGTGTCAGCAGATATTTTACCTTTAACTTAACTCCTTTCTTCAGTCTCTGCCCTATTCACTGCCAGCTAATATATTTTATCAGGAACAGTTTGTCTTACTTGGGTTCCAAGCAAACCTCAGATAACACTGAGGACAATACAAACAATAGAAAAAAATACAAAAAGAAAATTCCTATGGGTTTTTATTTCCTACCTTCTCTGAAGGGAGGCAGTATCTTTAGTAGTTAAGAGTTGAGAATGTAGGAGAGCGGTTAAGAGTCAGAATCTAGGTTCAGATATCAGCTTTGCCACTTGCTAATTTCAAAAGTGACCTTGAGCAAGTCACCTTTTTTTTTTTTTTAAGATTTTATTTATTTATTTGAGAGAGAGAGACACAGCAAGAGAGGGAACACAAGCAGGGGGAGTGGGAGAGGGAGAAGCAGGCTTCCTGCCGAGCAGGGAGCCTGATTCAGGGCTCGATCCCAGGACCCCGGGACCATGATCTGAGCCGAAGGCAGACGCTTAACGACTGAGCCACCCAGGCACCCCAAGCAAGTCACCTTTCTAATAATTTCTCTATCTCTATAAGATGGAGGTAATAAGAGTACTTACCTCAAGTTGAGAGAATTAAATGAAATAATTATGGAAAACAGCACAATAAAACAGTACGTGTTGCTCAGTGCAGAGCCTGCTTCTTCCTCTGACTGATGCTCCCCCTGCTTGTGTGTGCATTCTCTCTCTCTCTCTCTCTCTCTGACAGATAAATAAAATCTTTAAAAAAAAAAAAAAAAGAATGAAATGTGGTCATATATAAAGTACCTAGCACAGAGTAGGAACTCAGTGTTTCCCTCCCTCTTACATCATTTAATCTCATGAAAATGTGTTTACTTCATTTGATATTACTTCATTAGGATACATAGGTACTTCATTAGTAATATATTAGTAATACATAGGTATTACTTCATTAGAGTATTACCACAGAATCAGTATCTTCTCTTAAAAATAAAACCTATTATGGGGCGCCTGGGTGGCTCAGTCGTTAAGCGTCTGCCTTCGGCTCAGGTCATGATCCCAGGGTCCTGGGATCGAGCCCCGCATCGGGCTCCCTGCTCGGCGGGAAGCCTGCTTCTCCCTCTCCCACTCCCCCTGCTTGTGTTCCCTCTCTCGCTGTGTCTCTCTCTGTCAAATAAATAAATAAAATCTTTAAAAAAATAAATAAATAAATAAAACCTATTATGACATTTTTATGATTATAGAAAGTAAATAAAACAAGGGGAAAACCCTAAAGTTGACTACAGACAGTTGGTAATATTACCACACAATAGGGGGAAAAAAAAGAAAAACCTTTTCAGTACAATGCTACAGTGCTTAGACTATACTCTTGGTGAGATATAATCTAAAGACAAAGCAAAGAAATCTTGGCTTTTTGTTGGTAGTGGTATGGATATAGTAATTCTGGAACATGTTTTGTATGTATTTTACATTGAACAAATGAGTAAATATGATGATGTTCTAGAGAGTCAGTTTTCCTAGTGGGAAAAAGGAGATACTGTAAATAGGGAATAGGATTAAGGAGAGGAAGAATCCTGTAGAGTTCTAAAAAAATGGGAATCATCAATAAAATCACAAACTCATAATTTTGCTTTAAAAACAGCTGTGTATATAATATGTGTGCACATATGTGTACAGGCCTAGAAACACCACCACCCTTGGCAATTAACACAACTGATCTTTAATTCTAAATGTCAACTCACCACTAAAAGGAATTAGGGCTCCTTGAAAAAAATGGCTGATTCCAGAGCTGTGTAAAGATGAGCTTGGATATCTTGCTCTGCCAGGAAGTAAGGAAGTGCTCAAAAATTAATGGGAACATTAAAAAAGACACAAACGGGGCGCCTGGGTGGCTCGGTCTGTTAAGCGGCTGCCTTCGGCTCAGGTCATAATCCCAGGGTCCTGGGATCGAGCCCCACATTGGGCTCCCCGCTCAGCGGGAAGCCTGCTTCTCCCTCTCCCACTCCCCCTACTTGTGTTCCCTCTCTCCTGTCTCTCTCTCTGTCAGATAAATAAATAAAATCTTTAAAAAAAAAATTTTTTTTTTAATAAAAAAAATAAAAATAAAAAAGAGAAACGAGCTCAAAAGAGCTCTTGCTGGCCAAAACTGGGACAATATGAGTATTAAAATGAATAATGACAGTAATAAATATGATATATTGAACAAGAAAAGGATCCATGAGTACATACTCATGCAAACAAATAAAATGGAGGAAAAGCTCTTCATAATTAGTGTCAGTCAACAAATTCAGAAGGAATTGTAGAGTTAGGAAAACACCATTGGTGTTTTGTTTTAGCAAGATATAATTGTTTTAAGCAAGAATCATCAGTGAAGGCTAATATCATTGGGTTCAGGTCTGTCGGGGAATAGGATATTCACACAGTCTCAAATTGTCTTCTTGTCAATATTTTACTACTTGCTGGAGGTGCCTGAGTGACTCAGTCTATGGAGCGCCTGACTCTTGATCACAGGTCTTGATCTCAAGGTTGTGAGTTAGAGCCACGTGTTAGGCGAGGAGCCTACTTAAAAAAAAATTTTTTTAAATAAAATATTTTACTAATTGCAGTGGTAGAAAACAACACCTTCACATTAGAGAAATCTGGCCATACCAGCTTAATCAGGTGATCACAGTTAACATTGGGACAAATGGATAACATGTGCCTCCCGACATGATGCAGTGGGAAGCACACAGTATCACTTTTGTAGTATTCTTGCCAGAACTGCATAAATTCAATCTGATTACAAGGAAGCAGTCAGACAACTCAAATTCAACACATTCTGCAACTCCGTAACTGCTCTGAACTTGTCAAGGATATCAGTATCATAAGAAACAGAGGCTGAGGAACTATTCCAGGCCAAAGAAAACTAAATACAGTGTTTGATACTGGATTGAGTTTTAGATGAGTAGGGAAAATGACTATAAAAAAGATTATTGGGACAAAAATGTTAAGTTTCCTAAATTTAATATATAGTGGTTATTTAAGTGATGTTCTTAGGTGAAATGAACTCAAGTATTTAGGGGTGAAAATGTCTACAATTTACTCCCAAATCATTCTACAAAAAAAGTATGTATGGGGTACAAACAGAGAGAAAAAGAGAGAGAGAATGAGAACACGTGTGCCAAAATGTTAACAACTGAGTAATCTAGGTAAGGGTATATGAATGAGTTTTTGAGGTACTATTCTTGAAACTTTTCTAGGGGTTTGAATTTTTTCAAAATTTTAGAAAACTCTGAGAAGCATAAAATAGAAAAAAAAAATCTCATTATTCAGAGATAACCTTTGTTTACATTTTGGAGTATTTCCTTCCATTCATTTCCATGATAGTTCTTAATTAAATCTTAAGCTCCAAAGAAGTAAACATTTGCCCTCAAACTTAAAATAATAGTAAAAAAAATTTTTTAATAAAAAGGAATGTACCTTTCTTGAGGCATTGTTTATTTTCCTTCCAGGAAACTGGTATCCTTGGCAATGTTCTGTTCTGTTCATGTTCTTTACAAGAGTAAAAAACAGAGTGTACCTAAAACTGTATTGTAAGTTGAATGAAAATTGGTCCAATTTGAAATAATTTTCACTGAGTATCATGGCATATATAACTTTCTGGCACTATTTCTGTGTTTTATGGTACTCAGTAGGGCTCTCATGTCTCAGCCATTTCACGAATGGGGAAATCAGAACACTACTTTATTTTATCATTTTCCTACTTCATACGTACATAAGAAATTTGAAGAAGCTTAAAACAATATACAAGCTGAGGAAAGGAAGGAAGCATCTCACTGAATATTCCTTTGGCTGGAATAAACTTGAAAATTAAGTGTTTACTAGAAGTTAAATGGGGGAAATATCCTTTAGTTCCATGGTCCCCACCTTTTAAGAATGTCATCCACTTTCTAATGTTTATCTGGATAAAAGTAGTTCGTTGCTCTCTCTCTCACATGACGTGTGCCTGGCCGAGAGCCTGGTGCATAGTACCGTGAATGTATGGCATTTACTATGTGCCAGGGATTGTTCCATGTTACTGTACCTGTATTTCTTTCACTCAGTTCTCTGAGACTACTTCCAGCTCTCAGGACCTTAATGATTTTAGACCACCTTCTAAAGAAAGTGATTTTAGTATATTTTTTGTTTTGATTTTATTGTATTTTTTTAAGATTGATTTATGAGAGAGAGAGTGGGGGAGGGGCAGAGGGAGAGGGACAAGCGGACTTTGTGCTGAGCACTGAGCTCAACGCAGGGCTCGATCCCAGGACCCTGAGACCATGACCTGAGCCAAAACCAAGAGTTGGATGTTTAACCGACTGAGCCATCCAGGCGCCCCGATTTTATTGTATTTTTATTATAAAAAAAAAAAGTTTAGCGGGTCAGAAGCATTATAAAGTCAGAAAGAGAGGAGTGAAAATGCCTCAGTGGACTAGAAGAGGAAAATGCTTGTAAGGAAAAGAAGAGAAATCGCTATTAGTTACTAAGGTGCCAGTCATTAGAACAGGTGCTTCTCACATAATTGCATTTAATATGCACAGTAACGCCACGAAGTAAACAAGATTAACACAAATTTACAGCTGTGGAAACAGTAACAGAAAGGCTGATTCACTTACCTAAGATCACCCCACTGGCAGGTAGTAAAACTGGGTTCAAGACCCATGTCTGTCTCATTTTAAAATCAGATTTGGGTTTGGTTTTTCCATTATACATTGCTGCTTTTCTCAACTGGCTTCTCTGTTACATGTTTTAGGCACAATGGATGAGTTTCTTTGTATTTCTCCTTTACCAGGCTTTTCTGACGTGGATCACACCTATGCTCAAAGAACTCAGCTCTTTGACACCTTAGTAAATTTCTTTCCTGACAGCATGACTCCCCCTAAAGGCAACCTGGTAGATCTCATCATGCTGTAACTGGAGAGCCGCTGGACAGCAATGCAGAACAGGAGTCTGCGTTCAGTATTTTGGAGTGCAACTCTGTTGACCGACAATTAGGCTGCCGTGATCGAGGACTGCACCAGAATTTTGAAGGGATCTTTACTGTCACAAGTTTTAACCCTCTTCCTTCATCCCCCACCTCAGCCCCTTTCTCCTCATCCTGTTCCTGAATTAGGTTAATAAAGTGAAATTGGTATTATTTCCATTTAAATATATATATTTTTTTCTTACTTTAACTTTTAAGAACGAATGAATATAAAAGAAGAAATAATCAGGCAGTTTACCCTTTTCTGATTTTTATTTCATTTTTATAAAATTGGGGCAAATAAGCACTATTAGCAGACTCAGTGCTAGAAAGAAGAATGGGGTTTTGTTGTTGGCTGGTTTGGCCTCGCCCCTTTCTCCTCCTTTCCCATTTCACTTTGCCTCACATCACACAACTGCTTGTAAGTGGTGTCACTTGTTTACCTCTTCACTTCATTCTTAAAAGTATATAGTTCTGTAGGGCAAATGATGTATGTTAAAGTGATATATGTGTCTCTGTTGACTAGAGTCTTGTATTACATTAAACAGTAGGAGGAACAGAGGGCTCAAATTTATGCTCCTTGTCATAAAACTAAAAAATGAAACCCAAGATTGATCCAGGTACTGAGATTGGTATATAGTATTTCTATAATGATATATTTTGTAGTGGATATTACAATAGCTTTGAGTCACAGAAACCTTAAACTGAGGAGAATATAGTTCAGAACCTTTAAGAGCCAATATAAACATGACCAGCAAGATGATTCTAGTAGTGATTAATATGTTCATTGATGTCTTTGTAGCAAAGTTTGGAAGAAGATGACTCTTTGCTCTGTTAGAGCTGTGATTCCATTTCTCCTTTGTGCTCTTTGTAGCATTTTCACTTGGGAGGGTGGGTTTCCAGAGCTATGCTTCTGTTTCTTTCCATATACATTAGCTCCCTGCATCTGCTTCTGTATACTGCTATCTTAAAGAATAATGGTTTGTAGTTGTCCTATGGAATACAGCTGACAGGCATTTCACAAAGCACACAGGCTTTGAAGTGAAGAAAAAGAAAATAATGGTGCAGGTGTTTTTTTCATTAAAAGAAAGGCAGATAGGCTTTCCCACTGTTCCATTTTTTTTTTGTGGGGGATGGAGGTATATATCATTCCATGAGGTGCTGTGGGGTGCAGTATAGGAAGCCCAAACCTGGCCAGTGCTTGCATTTACTCAAAAAGTGTGCTGCATGCAACTGACACCCACCATGCCTAAAACAGACGAAGTAAATAAATGTCCATCAGTCCAGTAGCTCTGAAAAGTGAAGGACTTTGGGGAATTGAGTATGTCCCTGAGTAGCAAGATTAGGCTTCACCAAAGAGAAGACTTTGACTTGCACTTTTCTTGAAAAGTCTCATGTATGGGAATGAGACTGAGATCCCTCTTCACTCTGTCTTTATTGCTTGGCTTCACTGCTTTTGGGAATGGACAGAAATCTATTTTTCCTAGTTCCAGACTTGAATCTTGGGCTCCTTAGCTTTCCAAGCATCCCAAAGCTATCCATAGTGATTTATTAAACAATTAGATTTGTATCTTACCTTGTGGAAGCTATAGTATGTAATTCACTAAGTACCAAATTGTGCAGCTACAGAATAACCAAGTGATTTTATAGGTGAGCAAATAGAATCTACTTACATTCTCGTACAGCTTCGTAAAATGATAGTCCCCTGACAGTCAAGAAATAAAATAGTATCACTAATACTGTAGCCTATTGCATCTTGTTTTGTGGAAACAAGTACAAAACAAAGAGTTGATAGAGAAGAACTTTATCGATAGAGTTTCTAAATTTAAAAGCTCTAGTTTGCTTGCCGTGAACTCTGGCACTTTAAACACACTAACCAAATGAAAGTCTGCTGCCTCCACCTTTTGTTTCTACAGTGCTTTCTTTGTCACTGTTTTCATGAGTTCCGTAGATTCCATATTTGGAAGAAATGCAGTTCTTGACCTCAGTGATTTTGTTTTTGTTTTTCCCTGACTCTCTACTATTGCTTTTTAACATGAGCTTGTTTTAATTTTATCTTTCCTCACTTTATTGAGATGGAACTTTTGCCCTTTTCATTTCTGAAATTTTTTTCACTAACATGTTTAAATGGGGCTGAATCATAGTGAACCATTCAGTGTTGCCTAAGTGAGATACACTGTTGAGGAGGTTGTTGACTCGGTGGAGTTTGTGCCATGGGGCTCTAAAGGAGCATTGCTGGAAATGATTGCAGGAGAACGTAGGGCTTAATCATAACCATGACCAACATAACACATTGCTCACATTTCACACCAGAACCTGATTTGAAACTTGTTTATATATTTAGTGAGGAGCTACATATATTTCCAAGAATACCAGCGGTGTATTATAATTTAACCTAGTTTAGTATTTAGATACAGTGTTTAGGTAGGCCAAATTATCTGTGCTTTATTCCTTGAAATGCTTTCATTCTAGCTTAGTGAGTCCCAGTTGAAACACCTGGCTGGGATGCTTTAGATGCATTCCGTAGTAGGGCACAGTTTTTACTCAGTTTCATTATCTCTTGCTTCAGCTTCATTCCCATTTCTCTCTTTCACAGGGGAATGCATTATTCCAGAAAGTAAACTAGATCTCTAACATTATTTTCAGCACTTGTACTTGATGAGAAATTATCTGATTTGAAAGATACTTCTAAAATGCATTTGTATGCTGTGGAATAACAGAGACCTCATGTGGCCAGTTTGACTAATTCAAATAATCTAAATCTCCTTCAAGCAAAGGAATCCAGACTTGGGTGCCTGACTCAGTGCTCAAGCTGACAGTTTTAGCTTTTCACGAGATTATCTTTTCAGACCTGGTTTTCATTGATGCTAAAACTGACCTATGTCTAATAAGTAGAAACTGATAGAAAACACTAGAAAGTTAATTTACTGGGTTTATCACAGAAAGGCTTGTTGGGTTTAGAGCACAGTGATTTAAGATTATAAAATTGCATTCTTGGGTGAAATATGTATTTTGAATATAAATGGTTCCCAGCTTATCCTTCCAGCGGATCTCTTCACATCTGCCTTAAAAGTGCTATTTAGAGATACATTAACAGAATTTCATGTAATAAAAAAGTTTGAAAATCTAACCTACAAACAAAAACTGCATTGAGAATGATGTTCAGTGAATCCAAAAGCACGTAGGAACATGTTCCTGATTTTATTCTCTGAATTATATTCAGTTTCATGGTTATAACATGAAGAAGTCATAATTATTCTTAACACCATATGGAATTCATTTGGTAATTATGGGTCATTTACTTATTTCCTGAGTGAATGTTATGTTAACTCTTTAGGTGGTTGAATGTTACCTGGCAGTTGGGAATTATGGTTTGAAGTGATTTGTATGGGAGGTGTGTACTCTAAACAAAGTCATCTAGCTATTAAAAGCATAGCCTTCATAACCCTTCTTTTCTTAAAAATCCATGATCGTCTGCAGTTTCATCCTTTTACATAAATTCTGGCCTGAGTTTTTACTAAGTTGCAAGTTCTTAAAATTGTCCTTGATCTGGGATTGCATGCTTCCTCAGAAAAAGTTTATAGTTATTGGAGAGTGTCCTATAGGGTCTGCATATGACAATACTTGTAGATTAGATCTTTGGGCTCTTTCACTCAAAGGTTTTTGTATTTCTTATTAGTCAAATAACATTATTCTTCTGTGATTTTTGACTGTAGCTTATATCTCCCTGTGATTTGTATCAATGCTGAAATGATTTGACTATCCAAAATTTCTAGTGTAGAAGTATTTCAGTTGAAGGTGGACGTTTCCAAGTTTGTTGAAACAGTTCATTAGGAGCCAACTAGATCAGCTGATGATGTTGCCATTGTTTGTTTTGGCAGGAGGACTCATTACAATTTATTGATTTCTTCACCAGATGCTTTTTTTCCTGGAAAAAAATACGCTATCTTAGAGATTTTATTTTACATAATTTCTTAACCTTGATTTCCTCCTGCCGACCAAATAGTGTGAATTTTACATCCATTATTTCCTTAGCTGACCTGACTTTATTCTTGGCTTTTTCAGCCCTAGATTCCCTAGGTTTTCTTTGGCATTGCTTATGAGTATTGTACCACTTAAGAGAAAAGGTCAAAATCATTTTGAGGCAAACATGTTCTTTTATCCTTGTTTATGACAACAGAATAGTGAAATTTAAAATTGTCCGTTATGAAAGAATTAACAATGTTGAGACATTTTCATTTGGAGGATAGTAACATGGCTCTTGGCGGCCTTAATGGAGGAGCCAGCGTTGGCTTCGTTTCCTGACACTAGGAAGCATAGTCCTAAAACTGATGATCACGTACAGGTTTCCTAGCAGAGCTCATGGAATTCAGCACATCACCAGATTTCCATTTGCCTGTTGTCTTTTCTTTATATTTTTTAGCCTTTTTTCCCTCTATTCCTACTAGCTCTGAGTAGCATTGATGTTCTGCTGAAGTTGGAATCTGTGTTAAAAATTGACTTTCAATTTCTGATGTAATTGTTTATTAGGAATAGCTTTGATTGCTATGAAATGATTGGTATTTGTTCATTTTTAAAATTATCACTGATAATCCTGAAATAATTCACCTTCCTTTTTATCTGCGGCTCAGACAGTTTCAATGAACTATTAAACATTTGTGTGCAGCATCCTATTTTGCCTGTCTATATGGCATTTTCACTTGGAGGAATGGAACCCCAGGAACAGGGCTAGAGGAGAATGCGGATATGTTAGAGAAAGGAAAATAGGAGCTTTTTGCTCATGGATGAGAAGGTCCACAAATCAAAATGAAAAAGAAAGCTCTCCATTTTGGACCCTAAATTCATTTTGCTAATGCAGTGCTGTGAAGATGACTCTCAAAAGGAATCACAGCTCATTCTGTGTCGTCTTTGGAAAGCAGCATTCCTGGTTAGTTTCTTTTCTCATCTTCTCCCAAAGAGCTGTTAGAGGTCTTGGAACGGAAAACCCACTGTGATCGGCTCAAGATTTTAAACTAGCTGAGCAGTTTCTTGAGAAGGATCCAGTGGGAAAACCAGCAATAAAACATTCTGACATGCAGTTTTGGGGCTCCCATGGGACTTGCTTTTTCATCAAGTTGAAGCTCTTGCCACAGCACAAGCTCTGTACCATCTGGGATGCTAGCATTCACAGCACTTAGTGTGGTTATCTGAGCTGTCTGCCACACCAATACCAGCCTGAAGAGATCATCATTCTTCAGTTTCACCCAGTGCTTAATGACTGCCAGATTAATTGGCAGGAAGGAAAAGTACTATGTGATACACTGAACAGGCCTGTGTGCATGATTATGGAGTTGCTCAAGTAGCCGGTTTTGAGCTTTATTTCTCTCTTTTGCTAACAAATCTCAAGAAAGAAAGCCTTTGTTACAGCTTAGCCAGTGTCATTTGGTTGGGGTTTATTTTCTAGCCTTTTAAAATAGGAAGAAAATTGTCATTTCATGTTTAACTTACAACCCATACAGAATTACACTGGCATCAATTGTTTTCTGTACTTTAATTATGCACAATCCCATGGGTCACTGTTTATCTACTTTGCCAAGAAATCCATGAGTTCTGGCATTAGAAGTATTTAATAATTTTGGAGGTGCCTGGGTGGCTCAGTCAGTTGAGCTTAGGTCTTGATCTTGGGGTTGTGAGTTCAAGCCCCACGTTGGGCTCCATGCTGGGCCTGGAGCCTACTTTAAAAAAAAAAAAAAGTATGGAATGCCTGGGTGGCTCAGTAGGTTAAAACTTCTGCCTTTGGCTCAGGTCATGATCCCAGAGTCCTGGGATCATGCATTGGGCTCCTTGCTCAGCGGGGAGCCTGCTTCTCCCTCTGCCTGCCACTCCCCCTGTTTGTGCTCTCTCTCTGACAGATAAATAAAATCTTTTCTTTTTAGGGGCGCCTGGGTGGCTCAGTCATTAAGCGTCTGCCTTCGGCTCAGGTCATGATCCCAGGGTCCTGGGATTGAGCCCCACATCATCAGGCTCCCTGCTCAGCGGGAAGCCTGCTTCTCCCTCTCCCACTCCCCCTGCTTGTGTTCCCGCTCTTGCTGTGTCTCTCTCTGTCAAATAAATAAAATCTTTCAAAATTTTTTAATTTAATTTAAAAAGTATTTAATAAATTTGGTTTATTCTATAGGTCTCCTTCATGTCTGGAAAGTGATTTAATTAGAGAAGGTATCTAGAATAAGTCCAATTCCATTGCAGCTGGCAGAGCTTTATAAATTCCTTTTGCAACAAAGAGAGGATCTTACACCATCAGGGCCGTGCCATTAGATGTCTGCTAGTGACCGTTTTAGCGTCTTGCCTTGTAGTTGCTGTGTTTACCTTCTTGTGATGAAAGGGGAGGAAGCTGAGGACAGAGATGCATGGCTTTACCTTTTTTCAGTTGCCTACGTTGGAAGTCCTAGGATACTCCACCTTTGTAAAGGCTTAGCTCAATGTTACATATACACACTAGCTTTACTTTCGAGAGCACCGAATATAAACTGTTAAGACATACTTAAAGTAAGTGTCTACCTGACCTCAAATCTGATAGCAGGATATCAAACTCCAAAATTTAAATATGAATACTCTTCTGTGGGGAAGATACATGTTTTTAAAAGTTTTATACACTTGGTCTCCTTTTGAGATTTTTTTTTTTCCTCTCCCAGAAAAAATGATTTTGGTGACTGACCAGTTGTAAACTGTTTTCTCCTTCAATTGTAAACTACCCATTTAGAGAAATTAAAGTGGACTTCCTTTCTTTATGCATCACATTTAGCCTGGCCAAGAGATGCTGTAATTTTGTTATTCTTTAAGCCACCTTGCTTTTTTGACTTGTGCAAAATGTCTTTTGAAATGAATAAATTATGTGGTATAGTATTAATTTTCCTTTATGTATAGCCTGCAGCTCAATTGCAAAATTGCAAAATAATGTGATATTTTCCTATGAGCAAATTTCCTTTATGGATATATATATATATATATATATATAATCTGTTTTTAAAGAGATTCCTTCCCTGTCACCACTTCAAACTCTATGTACAGTTGAGTCTGCAGCCTCAGAAAAAGAGTATGGGATAGCTAAGATAAGGACCTTTTTGTCTTGGTCTTAGTAACAAACATTATTCCATCTTTCAAAAATGCCATATTTATACCTAAGCAGCTTGGGAAAGATGTTACCGTTTTTTTTAAGTCAACTCTTTTACTTCTTTTGTAAAGTAGTATTCAGTGGCCAGAAATTAAGATCCCTTCAAATTAGAGATAGATCCTCAAAACTGAAGTTGGACTGGAAATTAGATTGGGAAGAAAGATACAGCTCCATCCATACCCAAGAGTCTATCTTGCCGGGTTTGCTTATTAACACTGTGGACAGCTTCTTCTCTTTGTTAGACTGGAAACATAGTGTTACCGCCGCTGGCTCATCTGAAAGTTGGAGAGTGTTAAATTTCTTTTATGGGACTTTTAATAATAACACTTATTGTTGTTTGTGATATAAAAAATGTTTATCATAGAAATTTAGGAAATTACTAAGTGTAAAGAAGGAAAACCACTATTAATTTACTGATGAGACTTACTCATTTTGTTTTTCCTGACTTTCTTCTGTTACCCCACATCGTAAAGCCCAGAAAAAGTTTAAAAAAAAAAAAAAATGGACGCAGTCATTGTGTTTTACTACAAGTAAGGAAGAGCAAGATGTGAGCGTGCGTCCCTGCCCTTTCTTAGATCCCTTTAAGCACTGCCCCTTCCCAGACTGACAGTCTGAAAATAATTTTCTTGATATGTATCTTTTAAGCCTGAACTGTGGGTATAAAGTATTGCTATAGGGAGCTGCCTTGTTCAGCTTCCTGGAAATATCATCTCTAAAACTCATTTGAATGTTTAAGCCCTTTATGCACCATTTATGCAGCTTTTTATGATGTTTGAAGCATATTCATACCGATGAACAGCTTTCTGTTTCAGTGGACTTTTTAATATGACCATAAGTAAACCCACACCCAAAGAGAATGAGGTACTTTTTTTCAAAGGCCAAACGAAAAGCAGAGAAAAACAAAGCAAAAACAAAACAGATGCACATAAATGTAAATAAGGAATCCTGTAAACAAGAGTTCCCTTACCATGCTTGAACACCTGTCTCTCCAAAAAAATATATTTCTCTGCTCACCAGCTAAGATTCAGTTGTGTTCATATGAGACTCCTTTTCTTAGTGTGTAAAGCAGAAAACTGCAACCTTTCAAGGTTCTGCTCTTTCCTTTTACCCTCCTCTTCTGTGGCAACATGGCTTAGGGCTGTACCCTAAAGGACCTAAATCAGAAATGGAAATCCTGAGGGAACTCTGGAATAACAGGCGTGAGCTAGTTGGAACTTTTAAACAGAAATGCTTTTGGGGCATCAGCTCTCTTCTCACATGATTGGTGTTCCGGGTCATTGTTGGACTGTGTTGGGTGTGTTCTGCAATCTTCCCCACTCCCCTCATGATCCTCTCTGGTTTATCTTATTTTTGCCCAGTCTGTATGGACTTTTTAGGTTTTTCCTTTTCTTTCTTTTTCTCTTTTTTTTTAGTACAAGTAATTTTCTGATCCCAGGTTTGGTGAATGTGTTAACACTGCTTTGTGAATAAATAAACGAGTGATCTGCTGAACGATTGCAATTGTAGAATTATGTTGTATGTAATGTACATATGGAGAAAGAATGTATTTTGTTCATTTTCTTAATAAAAAGTTATATATGTACACTACAAGATGTCTCTTATGTTTGCTGAAACTGCTTTTGAAGTCAACTTTTAAAACGTTTACATACTTTATACTTAGCATTCGTTGTATTTTTCCCCTCAAAAAGGTGAGTTTTATTCAGGCTTCCAAAGGTGGAGAATGATACCCGCTGTAGAAGGGCCCTTTGGTGTTTTTCTTTGAGACAGGGCCGAAATAAAGAAGTTCTGATGGATCTCACAAAATTTCCTGGAGATGTTTCCATTTTTAAAGAACACTGGTAAATTATTTTGTAAAATGGTGTCTTTTATCTACCATTGATGTCCAGCAGTATTTGATCTGTTTTGTAAATTTGGACTGGTTGTTTGCCAGGTTTTCTTTAAGGGGGACATACTTATGTAAGTTAGGAACTAGAAGAAAGTTAATTGTAGAAAAGATAGTAAAGAGAGTTGGAGCTGTTGCAAAGTTTTCAAAAATTCTGGATCCCTGTGTCTAACAAAGGGGACAGAAACTTTAAGGACTGAACCTTTGAAAAAAGAAATACAAAGATCATGGGTTGTTAGGAGGGAGTTGTGTGAGTGTTTCCCAGATGGACTCGACAGGACCTCCTCTTGACCGTTTTCATCTCCTGGTCTCGTTTACATGCTTACTATAAGCTTTGTGATCCTGCATTCTGCAGTGAGTTAGTTGTCAACTGATTTTATTCAAAATGGGGATTATAATGTTTTCTCAATTTATAAATCAGATAATCCCTCTTACTGCATAGCTCTCATTTCTAGAGTGTGCTTTGAACACTCTAGGTGTTCATCAACGGCTCATAAGTAACATTTTTATTTTCAAAACAGGAAAACATGATGTGCAGTGATAAGGTAAGAAATTGGCCTTTCCTTGGTTAATCCTCCAGAGATTTAACTCAAAAGGATCAAAAATGTGGTACACCACCTCCTCCCCCTTGATATATTTTGTCTTCTGGCAGGAAGACAGCAAATAAGCCAAGAGGGCTTTGTGTTCGAACAGTTGGGAAGACACCTGCTCACACGCCAAGTGAGTGTGGAGACCTACAGCGGTTGGAAGGGCTACATGGAGACTCTGCTTACCCAAGGAGATAATCCAGCTCCAGCAGGGAAATGGCTGTGCCCGTATCGACATTCTTAGAGAAGTCAACCACAGAGGCGATGGAAATTGAAAAAGTATTTTCCCTGTTAATGAAGGCAGTATTTTTGGTTTTTACACCACTATGAGTGGAAAGGCAAACTGCTGGCTATCCTGAAGCCTGGGTTAGTCCTGGCTTAGACGTAAATACTGGTTGGTTATGTTTCTTCTTTCCCTTAGCACCAAGATGCCAGATCTTTTGCCGTTTTGGTGTCTTGGCAGAAGAAAAGGAAGAGAAATTCAGCTTTCTGTTGTATAGGGAAAGTGGGACAGTATAACACGATGCCCGAAACGTCCTATCATTCTTGCTCTGAAACTTCTCTCATGTTCACAGGGGACTTCCCCCCACTCTGGGCCCTCACCTCGGAAAAGCAAAGGCAGTTATATCCTTACCAGAAACGTTCTTATTATAGGGAAGAGAGGAAGTCCACTGTCGTTCTAGGAAGTTTTAAAGGTTGGCAAATCCCAAGCGGGGAGATTAGGACACTAGGCAACATGTACAGCACACATTGTTACAGCTGCCGTCTGAACTTGGGCCGAAGGATGGGTGGCCCAGGGCAGAGGCAGGAACCCTAGGGTTATTTCCAGATCCACCAAGGACTTCTGTGGAGCCCTGGACAGCCTCAAATCCTCTGCCTCCCTTTCTCCATCTGACAAATACATGTTGGCAGCAGATCCTGTTTGCTAGGATCGTGTTGAATTTTTTAATTTGTAAAATGTCAAGGTCTTTGAAAAATACCATCTCCGTATTCATCACTTGTGTTAGTTATAATAGCCAGGCATGTGTGTGTGTGTGTGTGTGTGTATATATATATATATATTTTTTTTTTCTTTTTTCCCTTAGGCTACGGAAGAAATGCCTGGTTTGGGACTGAGCTTGCAGGACAGGGGAAATGTGAGTGACAGAGGCCTAACCAATTGAAAAGGACCTCTGAATGCTTCTTGGTTGGCAGGGCAGGGAACAGCGTGAATGACCTACTCAGGAAAAGAACGGAAAGCCTCCGGTCTAACTGGCGGCCAGCGATAAACTGCGAGCCGTTCTCTTCTTAGAACAGTGTGCCTCAGGCATGGCCGAGGAGCCTGCCCTGTTCCTGGTGCTCGTACTCTTTTCTGTATTCTGGGCACACGCCTGAAGTTAACCTCAAAACACCCCAGGCCCAACTCTGGCCCACTGTTCAGGGTGTTCACTGCCTTTCAGAATTCCCGTATAAAAGGAAAATCCTACTGGGGTGGGGGGAGAAAATTCTATCGTAACAATGGTCGCACTGTAGAAATGTACTTTGTTGTTGGAACTCCTGCATTCATGTGGTATTGAAAAAAGAACGGGAGACTAAAGAGAACCGAGACAGCTTCCAGGCCTCATGCTGCCACAGAAATAGCTGTGTCCTCTCAGAGAATCCTTCATCTCTGTAGGTAAGTTCCCTGTTGGTAGAGAAGCGCCCATCCCTAAGCAAGATTATGTAAAAATGTTTTGTGAACTGTAAGGTACCAGGCCCATAGAGGAGACTGCTGTATAGCAGTCTGAACGGGGGCCAGACTCATTGGACGGTTTCCCTTCCACAGTTCTGCAAGTTGGGAGCGATAGTTTCCCCCTCCAGTGAGGAACAGACAGGGAGCGAATACCACCCTAGGAGAGGAAGAGAAGCAGAATCATTTGAGTGCTTCCTTCCCTGCACTTCTCCATCTTCACTCACATCTCCAGACAAGGGACAGAGAGAGGCTTCTCATGACAAGTAAATGGAGCCTTTTGTGAGCAGGAACAGGGCCAGAACAGAACCTCTTTATTTTTCATATCTTTGTTTTGTCTCTATGCCAGTGTATTCACACCTGACCAGGACTCCGGGATCTTTAGTGGTGGGTGACTCATTGTATCTGAGGCAGAAGCAGAGGAAAGGAAGAAGGTAGAACACTGACAAAAGTGAGGGAAAATTCAGCTGTGATCACTGCAACAGCCCAAGATCCCCCTCAGGATCCCCCTCTTCCTTTCTTTTCAGCTTCCCTCTTTCTCCTTCCCTCTCTGCACCCTCCCCCCCCCCCAGTTGGGGGGCACAGGGTAAGAGCAGACGGCACTTCCGTGTCTTCGGGCGCTTCCGCCATGAGCCTCAAGCACAAGTGAAGAACATAAGCCAATCAGTCAATCAAGTTCAACAGGGCTTGAACCAGCTTACACAAAAGCACTTTAATTGACAGTATACAATTTTCCAAAATATAGTTCTGTAAGAAAATGGCAATAATTAAGTATAATCTTTACAAACAAATTTCTCAGTAAATTCCAGTGTACTTCAGACCCCTGTCCACGAAGACATATGCTCCCCCAGTCACCTGGGCAAACTGTTTAACATTCACTGATAACAAGAGACACACACACATCGAATAGTCATCCCCTCCCTTCCACTGGGTGTTGGGTTTTCACCAAACCTGAGCCAATCAGCTCATGACAGTGATAAACGATAAGCCATTGCTTTACTCTTGCCCCCTCTGCCTTCCTGGAGCTTGTTCCCTTTGATCCTTAGTCCTGCTAGTAGAAGATCCATGTGTAAAAATTCATTCAAAACTGTTTCTTCACAGAAAAGTATCACTCATTTAAGTCTTAGGACTAAATAACTCCGAGGAAGTGTAGACCAGTTATGGTTCCTATTGTGGTCTCAGGTCCTCCCCAGCCTTGCTGCAGGACAAGATTTGAGAATGGAATTCTGTCCTTGGTGTCATCCTGGTGTCTGTCCTTACTTTACTCATTCATTCTGAGGCCCACAGCACCAGTGTTTTAACCCTGTTTCTGTCGCTAACCATGTGATTTTGGCTAAGCCACTTTATCTTTCTGGGCTTCAGTTTCTTTTTCTGTAAGAACAAAACAAAGACTGGACTAGGTCTCTAAAAGCCTCTCCCTAGGACTAGAGTGTCACATACTGACTCCAAGCCTTCCTGTAACAGGCTAGGACTTAGCTGGGGAGGGGGGTTGAGGATCGTCTTTAAAAATAAAAATGCCTGATCTATAAGACAAATAATTTGTCATCAGCTTGTCTTATATTTCACTTTTCACTGGAGAAAAACAAAACAAAACAAAAAAAAACTTGTCATTTCTAGTGAAATAGACATTTACATTCCTGTTCAGAGAAAAAAAAAGCCACCTCAACTAACAAATGTTTTTACAGTGTATATTCACTTAAAGCAGTAGAGTGGATTAACATGTGGCTGTTGTATTTACATTATTAAAAACTATGTATATCTGTATCAGCTTGGTTTTCAAAGTTTCTCCAGTATATTGTCAAGAAAGTTTAAAGCTCAAGAAGTGGTTTAAATAAACTTTCTGCTAGCTTTCCTTATCATGAGGGAAAAAGAGAATCTTGCGTCTAGACTAGATTAAACCCGTATTCTGTCCTACGATGCAAAGCGTATTCTGTACCTCCTTCATAAGCACTGCTTGCTTCCCTCCCCAGTCACAGAACAGCGTGCTTCCCCACTGGGTTTCCATCCAGTCATCAGATTCATGATTTCTGGCCTTTTATTCACCTTAGGGAAGCCAGTTTGCCGCTGATCGAAAGTTTATAATCTCTCTTCGGCACAACCTGTTTAGAGTCATGCTGAGTTCCTGGTGTTCCTTTTCTTTCTTCTCAGCCCCAGAATCTGACTTACCAGACAGCACTTAGAACCTAGTGCAGACGTGGGGTGAAGAGGACCTTTGCAGATGCATGGCTGGATGGCCCTGGACAGATGTCTAGTGGCAAGAGCAAGCCAAGGCAAGGTATTGGATTCTGAAGTTGCCCTCAGAGGCTAGAGTCACCCAGTCTGGATGCACCCAAAGGAGCATCTGAACCAGCCCAAAGCTTCCCAAGGTTCTCCTTGGACAGAGCCACCACAATCATTCCTCTTAA